CGCCCCTCGCGGCCGGCCAGCTCAGCCCGACCACCGCCTGTTCGACCGCCTTGACCAGCCGGCCGCGGTGAGCCTCGCCCTCCGTCTCCAGACGCGTCACCAGCCAGGCCAGCCGGGCGGCCGTCTGCAGCGACGGCGAGCCCTCCGCGCCCGCCTCCGCCTCGAGGCCGGCCGCCTCTCGGGCCTGCCCGTCCAGCTGGTCGGTCCACGCGGTCGATAGTGCCGACGCGTCGGCCAGCCGCCGACAGGCCTCCAGCCAATTGTCGGCCGCCTCGAGCTCGACGCGCAGCTGCTCCAGCCGGTCGGCGAGACGTCGCTCACGCGCCAGCCAATCACCGGCTTCGGCGCGCACTTCAGCCAACCGGCACGCCGCCTGTCCCATCATGCGCTCCACCGGCCTGGCCCGCCCCGGCGCGCCCAGCTCCGCCTCGAGAGCCCTCACGGCGGCCGCCAGTTGGCCGACCAGCCGGCCGCAGCACCCGGCGCCCGGCCCCTCTGTCTGCCCTTCCAGCCCGCCCAACTCGTCCAACACCGCCTCCGCCTCACGCACACACCCCGCCTGCGTCTCGATCACCCGGGCAACTTGCACTGCACCAACACACACACCGACGCTCGAGCCCGGCATGCCCTCACGCCGCCAGGCCTGTTGCAGCTCGGCCAATCGACCCGCCGCCCGCTCCACCAATCCCAGCACCGCCTCCCGGCCCGCCTCCACCTCCGACCACCGGGCCAGGCAACGCGCCAGCCGCCCGTACAGCCCGTCAGCCCGGCTGAACACCGCGTCGGCCCGCGACTGCAGCCGCCTCACCAGGTCGACCGCGTTCTCGCGTCTGCCCTCGCCCTCGGCGCCCACTTCAACGTCGACGTCGACGTCGACGTTGACGTCAACGTCGGCCGGCCACAGTTCACTGGCCGACACGACGCCCGAGTCTCCGGCCTCCAAGGCCTCGAGGCTCGTCTGCAGTTGCCGCATCCTCGCCTGCACCTCGGCCTGTCGGGCCAGCAGCTCCTGTGCGGGGGGGTGGTTTGGAGGAGACGACACGTCAGCACGTCAGCACGTCAACACACAAACCGACAGACAACCCGTTCGCCCGCAGCGCCTCGATCCGGCCCAGTCGGCCAGGACTGGCCGCCTTCAACCCGATTGGGCCGGAGCCGGCGCACAACCGCACCGTGTCCGCGTCGCACAAGACACGAGCGGGCGGCAGTCGCGAATCATCGGGCCCGGGGCTTCTTCGCCCAAACCGGCCGTCACCAGGTCACGGGCAATTTATGCGGCTACAAACAAACGCCAGGCTTCCCGCCGCCTTTCATTTCGTCTAAAGTGTATATTTACTGGCTCGAGTTGACCCTGACGACGACGACGGCAGCGTCCACGAGACATGCCCCCTCGTTTCGGCTGAAAGCGGGCTCAGCAAAAGTATGAAGTTAACACTGGGCCATGACGACCGACCGGCTCTATCCTAAATGCTGTATGCACTGATTTAGATGGGTATAGAATGGCTTGAGTAATTGGGTTTTGACGAGTCTCATGGCGTTGCATGGTTGCGGAGAACTTCGGTTCGTGTGAAAGTGGATGAAGAAGAGATTACAAGGTCGATGTCACCACAAAATGACAATTTCCCCAACAATGTGATCTTAAGATAGTCATCTACAATTATCTTTTACGTTCTGAATATATATAACTAAATAAATAAAAAAATATAGAAGTTGTTTGACCTTGTTTGCGCAACTTGGTCATAGCAACGCACCTTTTCCTGAGTCCATTGTAG